GGATTCCAGTCCGAGTTGCAGCCAACTGTTGGTTTCACTTATTGTAAATAAACACTGTTAAATTGTTCCTGGTCTTGGAGTTGCTCTTTTGGTCATGTGCTATCTGGGTATTGAGTAAATCCTTACATTAATGGATTTTATTAAAACTCTCAGAAAGTAATGGCGGTCATCTACAAGTATTGAACTTTTGGAGTCACTCCAATCTAAGATGGTCAACACATAAAAGACGACAACTCAGAAAGTTTTGTAGATACAAAGTTAAAGTTTGTCCTGGCAGTAGCTGAGAGTCATTTACATCACATACTCTGAGTGCTAATGCATCTCACAAGACCTCACGAAACTGCACGAGATCGTGTAGAACATTATGTACAAAGGTTGATCAATATGGCTATAACTATTTATAGAAAGTTAGTGCAAAATTCTAATTTGGCATAATTGTTGGGAAAAAAAAGCAAAACAGGCTTAATAGAAATTTATTATAGATGAGTGCAAAAAAGCTATACACTGTACATAATGGAATATACTGTATATATGACAGCCTTTTATTAAAGATAGGGTATCAGGGGTCTTGGGATGCAGGCTTTTAGGGTTATCTGGTTTTGTAGTGTCTGAGAGCAGACCTATATGGACAGAGTTGCAGGCTAAGTGCAGAGAAGGAAAGAGGGACTAGGTGGTGTGGGAAGACGATGGAAAGAGATTGACAGAAAGAGATGAGATGAAGGGGACACGGTGTAAGGGGGTGTGTGTGTGGAAGCTGACGACGGGTTAACAGGAATCTTTATTTTTAACAACGTGTCATCACTAGCCGCCCATCTGCTCCTGTGCTGTCAGAGTCCCTTGGGAGGGTGTGTGTGTAAATGTGAGAGATAGAAAGAGGGAGATGCATGCAATCCCATCACAGATCACATCAGTGATCAGTCCCCCCCCAAATGAGGAGCAGAGGGGAGAGGCAAGGTTAGAGAGGTGGGTGGGCGCTTGAATATGTGCCTCTCTAATATCCAAGGTGAACGGCGGTGTGGCGTTCGTGGCTCGTTGAGATTAGTTGGGTTGATCTACAGCCGCCCCTTTCTGTGTTTGGATGGGGGATGGAAGGTGGAAATGGTGGACTGAAGGTAATGAGAGGGAATCTATTAGCACGGGGGGTGGAGTGGTGGATGGGTTGGGGGACACACACAAAAGAGTGAACAGTGGTCAGAACAGGCCCCAGTAAATCATTTATTTATTAAAATGGCCAAACTCTGCTTTCTTTCTTTTATTCTTCTCAGTGGTTTCTTTTCACATACCGAGACAAATTGCATCCCTCCAGTGGTCCACTCCACTTTATCCCTGTTTTGAGAGAAATTTGAATGGAATGAAAACATTTTGTTTGGCAGGAAGCAGTCTTTAGTCCTCATTAGCATTAATCATCTCAAACCCTCCTTCTTCCGACAGCTCTTTCTCACCACCATCCTTCAGGTGTAGTAAATTTAAAGGCTTACTGGTTCAAGACCTGTCACTGCAACAAGTCAAGCGCAGGTCACACACATCCTCCTGGATGTTTGCTGCACAGAAACGCACTCATGAGAAAATCAAACTTGCAACAGGAGTTTTGGGGTCGGTGCACGCATCTGAGAAGTCTTGCATTATATAAGTTTCCTGACTTCGTTTCAAACATTTTGCATCATGCGCCGAGATTCTATTTGCAGAACTGGTTGTCTGTAAAGGAAATGTTCTCCAGCATGAAAGGCCTCATCCTTTCCCGTGCTGTTTGTTTTTTCTTTCAGTTCATTTCTGCTCTCCCAGTCATCCCTCCCCCATTCAGTCTCACTCTTTCCCTCATTTCTGATCCATCTTTTATGCATTACTCCATTACTCTCAAGTCCCATTTACAGTGCATTACCTCTGCCCATCGTTCACATACACACTTCCTCTCCTTCTTTTTGTCACTTTGCTTCCCTTCCTTGCTTTAGTATATTAACACTTTTCAGCACTTCTCTGCTTAACCTTTTTTTATTTTCCTCTTTGTCTTTTTTCCCGGTCAAGTCATCTCACACTAAACATTTCTTTCCCAGTATCTTTCTTTTTCATCTCATTTCTGGTGTCTTTCTCTCTGATCTCCACGCTGGCTGTCTGCACTGCTGCCGTCCTCCCTTTCAGCCGGTTATTCAAAGCATGCCATGTGAATTTGGTTTCGTCATTGTCTTTTACAACACGACTGAACAAATGTCAGCAAATGTAATTAGCAGTAAATGCAATTAGCAGCCGGCCTGTTCAGATGTTAAACTGTCTTGTTTCAGCACTGATGTGAGTGCACGGACAGCGACGACTGGACTTTCAGACTGGAAGATGACACGAAGCACTAAACACGAGCAGCGAAAAAGAGAAGTGAGCAGCGTGTGCGGAGTTCCTGCAGTTTTGGTCCGAGTTCAAAAGAGATGCAGGAGTTCATGTTTTCCTTTGACTGCAGGACACAGCTTGTGGGAGCCCATTTTCATTGCTGTAAAAGAACAAATAACAAGAAAAAGAAAAAGAAAAAGGAACGTCATTTTAAATGGGTTTTGGAGGTGAATTATTTCAAACCTAGCTATAAAATCTAACAAAAAACTAAGCAAATTAAATAGAAGACCTGCATGAAAGTAAACAAAGCTCTTAAATTATTTTTTATGATTAAAAAAGAACAAATTAAAAAAATATCTAAAGGGTATCTAAGTTGCAGAAGGTGGGTGATAAAACAAATAGATATGCTGTGCCACAAAAACGATCTCAGAAATCATTTTCTGTGAAATTCCCCCTTTGACTTTAGTCCAAACTACTTTGTCATCAGATTTAGTACTTTAAACCGTTTATTAACAAAAGTTGTTCATTTCAAGGGCTAATTGCACAATTTCAGACACAGACATATAAAAGAAGTACAGAAAACTAAAGAAATTGACAGAACATTACTACAATTTTAAAATTTAAACTGAGATGAGAAGGGATTAAGTTTCAGCTGCTAGATGTATTAGCACTCAGAACATGTGTTGTTTATGACTCTCAGCCACTATCACATCAAAATTTAACTAAATGTCTGTAAATATGAGTTACAGCAATTTTGGTACCACTTTACAATAAGGCTCCCCTTATAGATGCTAATAAATAGTTTATAAATACATTATTAATTCCTCTATAAACACTTTATAAATCATTAATAACTGCATATTATGCATTAATTAAGAGTGACAGAGAGACAAAACTAACCAATTTATTGCCAAATAGTGATCCAAATCTGTTCATAGATATATTTCATCTAGAGTTGTTATATTAAACATTTAAGACTAAGTTACTACCTTGTATCTAAAAAAGTTAAATTTGGTCCTCTGGACATTCAAAACAAAACAAAACAAAATAAAACAAAAAATAAATAAAATAAACCTATATATATATATATATATTTAGGATATAATATTAGTTGTAGATACTAATAATGCAGTGATAAAGTATAATGTTATATGCTAAAAAAAAATAGGTTTACAAATGCTTAATGTGCTTACAAGGTAGTAACTTAGTCTTAAATGTTTAATATAACAACTCTAGATGAAATATAGAGGTGGCAGATTTGGATCACTATTTGGCTAGAAAATGGTCAGTTTTGTCTCTCGGTCACCCTTAACTAATGCATAATAAGCAGTTATTAATGATTTATAAAGTGTTTATTTATAAGGTGTTTATAGAGGAATTAATAACTTATCTATAAACTATTTACTAGCCATCTATAAGGGGAGCCTTATTGTCAAGTGGTACTTCAATTTGCCATGTAGGCTAATGTTATTCAGCTGATGTGGCCATCTTGAATTGAGGTGACTCCAAAAGTTAATCAGTTCTAGATGTTGAATTTGAGGGCGGCTGTGGCTGAGTGGTTAGAGCAGTCATCTTCCAATGCAAGAGTTGGGGGTTCGATTCCACCAGCAGTCACATGCCGAAGTGTCCCTGGGCAAGACACTGAACTCCTCATTGCCTCTGATGTGTGTTCCATCGGTGTATAAATGAGTTAAAGCACTGATTATTCTTTGTAAAGATCTAGTAGAGTGCTGTATGAATGGGTAAATGAGGGCACAGATTGTAGTGTCAAGTGCTTTGAGTATATTGATAAGATAGAAAGGCTCTGCCTAAGTACAGTCCATTTACCATTCACCCACTGAAAGTTACATTATGACCACACACACATGCATGCATGCACAAATTAAAACAACTAACACATGAAGTGATAGAACCACGCCTCAGAACGATCCACCAGACAGGCTGCCCACTCTCTCAGGGTCACCTTCTTGTTCATGTTACGGTCACATGACCTGCAGAGCAAAGCACAATGTGGTGACTTCAAAACCTTACAAGCAATGAAAATATATCAAACACATGCAGGTGGCCTTTTACACACCCAGAAAAAAAAACAACCTCAACAGACATTTATAGAAAGACACAAAGGTTAAATTTAAAGCTGTATCTTGAATCAAAGGGGACTGAGACTCCACAGCTATCATTGTCTTCCAGTTCAGCGTACAGCATTATCTCTGAAGGGTACTTTTTCAATTTGTGATGATCAATGACACACAGTGGGTAATAAACATTAACATTGCTGAGAATGGCTTGACATTGACAGTCCTGCTTTCACAAAACCTGTCAGTGCAGACTGGCAAGAGAAGTTGGGGGGTTGGGAAGCATGAATGCTAGAGAAAAATAAGAACACATGTTAAGATGACAGAACGACAAAGGAGTGAAAATAAGGATGGAATTGGTAGAGAGAGAGCAGACAGATTTATATGAAGGAAAGACCAAATGTTGGAGGGAAGAGTAAGTTAATGGTCATATGAGAACAGTACGGAGGAGGACATTGGCATGGGGAATGGATGGATAGATGGCGGGCAGAGAGAACAGCATGGTGGGAGGTGCAGCTTGATCAGAGCGGGGGTGAAATGCATTACTGTGTGACATATTTAAACCTTGTTCTTTCAGTTATCAGCTTACAACATATTGCAAGAGACAGAAGGTTTGCACCATGAACCCCTGTGGGGCACGAGGTCATGGAGGCATGAACATATGAGCAACACTGGTTTGTCCACTTTGATAACAAGCTGTCATATTTTACCAGTACTGGATATAACATGCTAAATATACTTTTTCTAAAAATAGAAAAGAATAAGGGTGGAACTGACTGGAAAAATGGTGAAGCACAGTGCTCCAAAGGCATCTTTTTGTAATAGAGCTTCCTCAGGTCTCTGCGGCTCAACATGCCGTCTTTGTTCTTGTCCAACAACAGAAATTGTTGCTAAAGAAAGAAACAGAACAAAACACAGAATAGTAACTGTGGGAAAGAAGCAAAACAAATGACATTTTTTGTTTGTCAGTTTATATAGTAAAGAAAAAAAACAAGACGCATGATGCTGTAACTGATAAAACACTGGTCAGACATGGTGCATTTCAACAGTTTCCATGGATGATCTATAGAAAAGAAACTGGTTCACAAACAAGCAAATTTATTACAAAGCTTTGGAGAACAGTCGGACTCACAGAGTTCATTACAAGTACAGAACTTATTCATGCCTTGTCCCATCTGAGTGTCGGACCCGTTCTTTCCTGAAATGAAAAGTTTAGTTTTGTAGTAAACTCGTCTGGGACTGCATTATAATAGTAAAATGTATTTATTTAATTTTCTTCTTTCAGCTGCTCCCTTCCTCAGGAGTTGCTTGGCAATTGTTTTTATGCCAGATGTCCTTCCTGATGCAACCATAGACCACCGAGCTACCACAGCTCTCTGTGTGGAGCAGAGAGCTGCCATCTTGGACACCTGGGTTGCAGATGGTGGGGCTAGAGGGCCCAGAGTACAGTTGCATTTGGGTCCCAAAAATCTGACCTGACCCGGCCCCAGCCTGTAGCCACCATTTACAAACCCCACCCGACCCAACGAATTAACAGTAAATACAGGTCCGGACACGAAAAAAACCTGACATCTTTAATTAAGAGTTGACTGCTTATGTAGTTATTAACGGTCGGCGGACGTACGCAGTTGAGTAAAGGGGGCAGAAGATCAGAGCTGGTTCTCCCTGCATTCTGCATTATTCAGACACGGACCCCGCTCTGACATGTTGGATATTTTGTGATCTCACCTGTTTGGGTCATCGGCTGCGCGCGTCTGCTGAGTGCAGCGGCTGAATGAACGTCCATTTGGGCTGATGGATCACTGGCAGTAGTCCCATCTGAAGCTTAACTGAACTTTTTACCTCTTTCACGGCCAGTCAGCGCATGGTCAAATGGCTGCATGCGGCTGGTGACTGTATGGCAAGCCATATTTCCATATAATTGGATCATCAGCTGTGAGTGTCTGCTGACGCAATCTAAAGCCTGACACTGACCCAGCCCGCACATTAAGTACATTATTATGGCTCGGCCCTAATCCAGGTTGGGCGGGGCCGGGTTCCGGGTTCGGGTTTGAAATGACAGCTCTAGCCCAGAGTGAGGCAATGAGGGTGGAGGCAGGTGCTTCACCTTTCCCACCCACATTTTTGATGTTGTCAGTCCAAGTGGTTGAACCGGCAACTTTCTGATCACAGGCTAGCCTTTTTAACCTCTGTGCCACCACTCCCAAAGCATTAGAATAGGAAATAACGTTGTAATATAATTCACAATGACAATAAAGTGGTAAAAGGGATTATAAAGGAACATAAAGTAAAATCATATTAAATGGACCAAGAAGCAGATCAATAACTAGTATATTCTCTTCACAGAAACCTGATCAATCCTATGACCCCAAATGTCGTTAGCTTTTTTTTTTTTTTGTAAAACTGGCAGTACTGTACACCAATATCCCCAGCCACTGACAGAGTTGAATATTGAATGTTTGTAGTTTTAGAATGAGTGTTTTTCTGCACTGGGAATGCAGCTGAACTTTTATGTTTTTGTTAGAAGATATTTGAGTGACTAGAAGTTACACTGTGTAACAGAACACAGATATATTTTAATATTATTAATTTATGTATTGACTTATTTATTTATTTATTTATTGCATGTCCAAGGTGGCACAATGTGATGGATTCTGAGTGGAGGGAGAACTTTTATCCAGTCCAAGGCACACAGCAGAGTTGGGTGGCCAATGGATGGCCACCATAGAGTAAACTTTGACCACCTCAATCATTTGAGGTAACTATACTGATATATTGAAGTGACACAAAAACTATAATGCATATGTTCCTCAAATGATCGGGGTGGCCAGTTTGAACATATTTACAGTGGTAGCCATCTTGGATTTTGAGAAGGATATCCAGTTTTTGATAGACTTTTCTTACGTCTAGATGTGTCCACACACCAAAATGGAAGTTGGTAGTTGGGGCAGCTGTGGTTGAGTGGTTAGAGCGATCGTCCTCCAATGGGAGAGTTGGGGGTTCGATTCCACCAGCAGTCACATGTTGAAGTGTCCCTGGGCAAGACACTGAACCCCTCATTGCCTCCAGTGTGTGTCCCATCGGTGTTTGAATGTGATCTAAAGCACTG